CTTTCCCCACTGTCCAGCTCCTTCCCCACCTATCCACCATGCCTCTGTTTGCCCTGGCAAGTGATCCCAACTCTTGCCCATATTCTCCTTGTCCCCAAGCCTGCAGGGGTCATGGAAATATGGTCACTCCAAGGTCACGTACCCTCTCTCAGGGACACATCAGTTGGTGCCCTTCTCTGACAGGATTTATGGGGCTGGTGACCAGATGCTAAAGATAGTTTCTAAGTCTCCCTTCTTTAGGGAAGCTAACAAGGACTGACAGAACGGTTCAAATGATAAAGCGCCTACCTAACAAGTGTGAGGCCATGAGTTCAAATCCCACCTTAGTCAGCTTAGGTTATTTGATCTCTTCATTATGGTAATAGTTGGGTTAACATTCAGGATCAACATTCCATTCAGGAGATCCATGAAGGGGTGGAGAGAGCCCTTAGGGAAATGGTTGACTGAAGCCAGGGGCCCCTGCACTTGCTCGCTCACAGAGGTATCAAGCACGAGAGGCTTTCTGGATCTAAAGAGGGAAGGCTTGTGATCTCAAAAGTTCTCTCTCTCTCTCTCAAAGAGTAATTTCCTCCTTCCCATTTCCCTCTCTCTTCTCCACCAGCCAGCGTAGGGAATTCCATTCAGGAGCCGTCATCACGCGTGGAGGGCGCGACCCTTAGGAAAACAGTTGTCTCTTTCTCAGAGGGCAAATTCTCTCTTTCTTTTCCCTCTCTCTCTCCACCAGGCAGCATAGGGGAAGCCGGCATATTCACCTCTTGGCTGTATCCTTAAGTTCTGGAAGTGCTTTGATCCTGCTAATTGAAATGGGCAATAGCACCTATCTCTAGGGGAGACGTCTTTATTCCTGTAACAGATTGCTGTTTTGTGGCTGTGTGTTGCATGTAACATGTCTTTGTGTTCCATTGGAGAGACTACACGGTCACAGGGAATGCTGCCACCATGATGAGGCCACCATGATGAGGCCACCACGGGTTCAGCGCTGTCTTGACACTCCTTAGGAATAGGAAACTCATGGGTGATGCCATCTTTTCATCATCTAGGAAGATTATAACTAACTTGTGGTTAAAATTCTCTAAATTAATATAGTTGCAGTACATTAATCTGTTAAGGATTGGACAAAAAAAGGGAGTATTTGTGTGAAAGATCTGTTATAAATTACTTAAGAATCTAGCTGACTGATTTACTAAAATAATGACCAAAAACTGATTTCAGAGTGCACAGCGAATTTATGTGATTGTGTGTCATTGTGTTTTCTGTGTATGTCTTTGTCCCCTACCAATTGTGGCCACTTAATTAATACTTTTTTGGGTTCACAAATGTGTGCTTACATTAACATTTTTTATATGCCTCAGTCAAAATGTGTGTGTGTGTGTGTGTGTGTGTGTGTGTGTGTGTAGATGTCTTTAGGATGATACTTACACTACTTTTATAAAGTTAATATGTAAAACTCTTGCTTAAAAAGTTATCTGAAGTTCTCATCCCAACCAGGTCTAAGTATCCTCTCTCTAAGGACAAAAAAAATTGTATACAATAATCTGTTTCATTCTACTGTGAACGTAATGCACATTTAACTCTTTTATACTTAGGTTTATTAACACATGTGCTCCTGTAGGTTGCTATTGTAAAACAGATAGTTTAATTCACTTTTCTTCCTGAGTCTGTTAAAGTATAAGTTTGCTAAGAGATTTATTACAAGCAGTGTTATGTAAATTTGGATTTTTACAAAAGTTGTTTCAAGATACAAATTAAGATCTTAAAGCTTTTAAGTTATATGTGTGATTAAGTGGGCTATAGTTTCAAGTTTGCCTAAAAAATATTTTGAGGTTAAAAAAAATACTAATGTAGTTCTAAAAGTGGGTTTTTGTCAGCTCTTTTATGTAAGGTACATTCTATCTAATAAGATCTGTGACATTTCTGCCATTTATGCCAAATGCTAAAAGTTCTGCCATTTAGTCCTGATAGCTGTTTGTCAGATAAACATTTATTTACCTGATATTGCCTAGATAAACATTGTTTTATATATATATATATATATATATATGTATACACACACACACACATATATATATATGATATGCAATTGAGCATTAAAACAGGGGTATTTAGGATTATTGACACTGCCTTCCCTTAAATACTGGGAAATTTAGGGTTTTTATTTGTCAGCACTGTATTGTCACTTTACTTAACTAAAATTCAAGGTTTCTGCTAGATGTCTTTGTTTTCTTTAAGCATGTAAGCTTTCTAAAATATAGTTATAAAGAGACATAAAACAAACTGGTGTCTTAGCTTCTTTTACAAGCTTGTGCACATGTTCCCAATTTAATAAGAGAAGTTTAGTAATACTACATACAGTAAAACTAATTAAACCATTATGTTTATTGCTAAACTGTTAGCCATGATTAGTTTAAGTTTTGACATTACATTTCTAATCCTTCAGGGTCATTTACAGATAAGTCGATGAAAAATGACTGATAAGTACTTATCTGTCAACCAGAACAGACACTTTTAAGTATTGGGGTCCTTTTGTATTTTCCTTGTAAAAATTTATAACTTTTGTCTGTTGACACTTCCCAAGAAATCAAAGGTGTTAGTACATTCTCCATGGGGCAGACTCGAGATTTAATTAAGCCCAGCCATTTGTAAACAAATCTTGTTGTTGCTTAATTTGGCCAAATAAGTTGCATTGGCACAGACTTCTGATCTGTTTGATGTGTTCCTCCTCCTCCTCCATAGGACAAATCTGACCTCCTGGGAGAAGCTACTCCTGGCTCCGAAGGACAAGAACTGCCAACTTGGAAAAATATTCCAAGTAGAGGCAACTATTCAGAGAAACAGTTTTAAAGGACTACAGTTCAAAAGGTCTACACAAATGACAGGACTTCTCCAAATCTAGATAAACAATTATGACAGCCCTGTAAAAGTAACCAAAGCCGAGAGGGTTTAAAAGATAGCTCTTATGCATTTAAACCTTCTAGGCTTCTTGCAAAAGGCAGACTCATGACTGGACAAGGCCTTCTGTTTAAGCAAAGGCTATCTGAGTTTCAATACCGAACTTCTGCTTAGGGACACTGTGAATCTTCTTTCTGTACAAAATTGACTCCCGTTGATGTTTTCCCTCTAATTGTATTGGCACATGGCCTGGTACACCAGGCCCCTAATGTAGATATTGCCCCAATAATCAGTCCTTAACTGCCCACTATGGTAGCAGTCCAAACAGAGGGCCATCCATGGGTTAGGAATAGCTACAGGTATAGACACCTATAGGAAAAATAACCAATAGACACTTGGTCACTTTACAAAATGAAAAGTTAGATTTTTTATCCTTCCTGCTACACTTCTCAGGGGCCCTTCCTATGCTCCTATCAATGCCCTGCCACTCACACACACGCCCAAGCTTAAAAGGAGGTTTGAACTCAAGGTCTTGTACTTGTCACGCAAGGGCTCTACCACTTCAACCAACTTCCAGACCTTTGTTGCTTTACTCATCTTTCAGTTAGAGACTTGAAGTTTTCTGGGGCCGGCCTTGGACCAATATCCTCCTAACTATGCATCTTGAGCAGCTTAGGTTACTAACATTTACCACTATATCCAATTTATACTTTGAAATGGGGTCTCACCGTTTCTTTTCTTTTTTTCACCCTTGACTGCCTTTGAACAGGAATTCTGCTATCTCCACCTGCCAAGTACCTGGGATTACAGCCTCGAGTCACCATATCTGGAATAATTTTAATTATAGGTGCTCAGGTTGACTGCCTCATTAGCCTGGGGCAGGGCCCAGCATTGGTTGTTCTTTTTTGAGCTCTTTGGTGATTCAGCTGTGTAGTGAGGACATAGAGGACGTGCTTGGGGAGAGCAGACTTCTGTCTAGATCCACACCTTGCTTGCCCTCACTCTACCCTGTAGCCTCTGGCCTGGCTGCTTGATACAGGCCCTGCCCACCTCTGAGAATTGTATCACTTGCTGCCTCCAAGGGGTCCTTCCATCTCTGTGTTGTCTTGCTTTCCGCACAACACCTGTCCTTACCTGCACAGCACTTGCCCTATGTGCCTGGTCTGTTCTTGCATTGGTCTCCTTGTTTCTTCACTCCCTAGATGCAAACTCCATGGGGGCAGGACTTTGTCTGTGTGCTCTGTGGCTGCACCTCAGCACGTAGGGGTTCTTCCTGCACAAAGTGGACTGATAAAGTAGCAGAGAGCTGAGAGTTGAATGAACTAATGAATAAGTGAATAGTGCTTCATTCTTGGCCAGATTAGCAAAGGACTCAGGCAAGTAACTAGCTTTGTGAGTTCTTTTGCACATGTGTAAAAGGCAGTTCTTGACTCCTGCTTGTGGGGAAACAGCAGTCACAGGAACCAAGACAGCAAGTCAAGCAGAGCTTCCATGGGCACTCCAGCAGTGGGGCTTGGGGATAGGCCTCTTTTGACCCAGCCTTCTTGTGGCCCATGATGACACAGACAGGGCACCTGCCTCTGGCCACACTAATGTCAGCACTGGCTGAGCCCCAGGAAACTTTTGCAGGACAGCCCAGACTTGGTCCTGGCCTGGGGAGGACATAGAGTGTGATGGGTAAGCCAGACATAACTGGATACCAGGAGTCAGTCAGTCCATGGTTCAAGTACTAGAGAGATGTACTAGAACTGAGCTCCATTGGGGTTTCTTCCCTTGGTACCTGGGTCAGCCTGGGCCAGTTGCTTAACCTTCCTGAGCCTGATGGCCTTACCAGGGAAAGAGGAGCTAAGGTCTTCTCCCTCATTGGAAAGCACTGGATCTCAGGCTCACTCTCAATTTGGCCACTGGTAAATGCCAGTTTTCACCTGAGGGGTGAACAGGGCACCAGAAGCCCTATTTGTTCAACAATTTTTTGAATTCTCTCTTCTGGGAGACCCCGTCCTCATCAGTCAGGCATGAACCCTCATCATTTTAAAAGGCAACCCCCGACCTCCACCCCTTCTACTCTCGCAACCACAATCCCCTCTGCACTCCGAGTGGTGGTACCTTACTGAGAATTTCTGGCCCCTGTTGAAGGGCAATTTTCCAGGCAGGCTCAGCTCTTCAGATCCCCAGGAGCTGTTGATCTGGGTGCTGCAGACCACAGCGTTCTCATCAAAATAGGCTTTCAGGTGGAAGGCGATGTCTCTCCCAGAGCCCAGGTTGACATAGAAACTGGAGTGGGTAGCACACAGGGACCCTGTGTGGCCATTGAGCGTGGGGCCCCAGCCCCTCCCCCCTACCCTTAACCTCCTGGAGCCAGGCAGTGGTCAGAATGACCATGGGGATCTCTTCTCCTTGAGGCTCTCTTGCCCTGCTCACTTCCTATTCTCTCTGGCTGTGAGACCACAGTGCACATCCATTTTTCAGTACCTGCTGCTCATGGTGGTGCTGGAAGGGAGGAGACCTTTCTCCTCTTCCTACTTGAAGTTCAGAAAGCAGAGCTGGCCCTTGTGGGCCATCTGGTGGCCAGTGTCAGTATAGGGCACCCAGTCCAGTCACCAGCAGTAGGAACATCAGCCTGGCTGGCCCAGGCCACCCACCAGCAAGGGGCAGTGCTCAGATTTAGCCAAAGGTCCCTACTGCCCCAGAGGTTTGGAGGCCCTACTGGCAGCCCACCTTTTGTGCCTGGTTAGTTCCTTAATCCCCATAATCACCTTTGCCATGGTTCAAGCCACTTTTTTGTTTGTTTACTTGTTTGGTAGGCATAAAATAAGTTTATTAAAGTAAAGAAAGCACACCCGCACCGTTAGAAACTCAGAAAGACTGAGCTGTCAAGCTACTTTTACAGATGAGGAAACTGAAACCCAGAAAGGTTCAGTCATTGCCCAAAGCCACACAGCTGTCATTGACAGAGCTGGGATTTGAACTTCAGAACTTATGGTGGGTTTCAACCACCATACAGGCTGCCTCTCACAATGAAGCATGGAAAATTTTCACTTCTGGCTCACCCAGGGCTTCCCCAGGCCACACAACAGGGCCTAACTTGACTCATTCTAGCAACTTCCTGGCCCTCAGAGGCAGCTGGCTAGGAATGGGAGCAGGCGCCCTTGTTGCCCTTATGGTGGGTGATGGACAGGGCAACTTCTCATGGGAACAGGGGTCACATGACCTTCTCATACAGTCAGCATTTCTGGGAAAGGGTGGCTCTGATAGCCTGAGGTCAAGGGGTCACTGAGTGGGGCTGGCTGGGTGGAAGAGGCCACACACACAGGACCTCTTTCTTGACTAATCCAAAGCCTGTTTTTACTCTCTCTTGCCTTTGGAGATTTGACTTCTACATTCAAACTAAAACTAGGCACCAGAATAATACAACAGCAGCTTATGTGATTTCCCCTGTCTGATGGGGACCAGAAGGGGGTCACGTGCCTAGAGTGGCACATTCTGGCCCCAAACCCCTCATAGAGGTGCTTCCCAGTGTCTTCCAGCTTTTCCTAGCTCCCTCCATGCAGGTTCCACTTTGGGGGCCTCCACAGGGTGACTGAGGGGCACTGGCAACATTGGCCAAGCCTAGGGCCTCTGCCATAGGCCCCAACTGGAGGCTGCAGCATGAGGCTCTCCCTCAGCGCCCTGCTGCTACCTGCCCACCTGAGGAGGGACCATGGGCCCAGCGCCCCAGGGCTAGGCCCAGAACACAATGACCTAAAAGGCTTCTGGGCCTGCAGCTATTTCTGGTGGCCTGCAGGAGCTTGTCCTGGAAACCTAACTGGGAGTGAGGGAAGATTAAGAAAGGACAAAAGACAGAAGACAAGCATGCAGAAAGCTGGGGTCAGGTGGGTTGGGTGCGCTGGTGGAGACACACAATAGCCGTCACCTCCAGCGAGTTTATTATATACAGCAGCAAACCAGGAAGTAGAGGAACAGTTCTTGGGAGTCATGACATTGTAGTTATTGGGAAAAGGAGGAACTTGCAATTGCTACTCTCTGGGTGTAAACATCTTAGGAAAAGCAGCTGTGCTGCATTTTGCCCTTGCCCCCTTCTGCAGCTGGGGCTGTGCCAACTCAGCTTGCAGATTATTTGACATAGCTGTGCTTTTGTCAAGTTCTCATAATCGCTCCCTACATCTCCCCCTTTTTTATTTCTTAAATGTCCCAATGAAGCCTGTCTCCTAATCCAAGGAGCTGTCTTTGCTCTGTGCAGCATCTGACTGAAAGAACAAGAAAACAGGTGAACAATCCTGCCAAATACCAGAAGGAGTGCTTTAGCAAGTTAAACAGAAACTCTTGAATTCACCCAAGATAATTTTTGCAATATTAGCTGGAGAAGAACATTATTAACATAGCATTTGTACAGCCTGAGTTAAATGGAATATTTTCATGAAACTTCTGCATGTTGTTAGGGTCCAGTCTCTCAAGCACAGGGTAAAACCTCCTTGACTACAAGCTGCCTGCAAGGCAGCCTGTAGGGGACTCTTTGCTAGAGTAGGGAGTCTCCTGGTCCATGGAGGTAACCCCAAATGCATGGGTCCCAGGGCTGGAGTGTCCTCATGACACTCTTCATCTGACACTGAATCAAAATCAGAATAATCTTTGGACTGAATTTTAATTTTAAGATGGGGCTGATGGCTCAGCAGCTCCACCACCCATAGCATCTTGTTACTTCCTCTCACACTCCTGTATGACTGGTTGTAAGGGGTGAGTCCCACATTCCAGCTCAGCTACCAAGGAGGAAAATCTTTGTTTATGTGAGGGGATAGGTTCCCAACAATCTCTAATCATAGACCACAACCCAAAAATAACATAGATCCATGTTTCTAAATTTACTGTGCCCTCCTCAGGGAACCCCGGGCAAGTATCCTGTTACCTTGCTTCTTTTCTATTACCTTACTTCTTTTCTATTACCTTCATTCTTTTCTATTTACCTTACTTCTTTTCTATTTACCTTACTTCTTTTTTCTATTACCTTACTTCTTTTTTCTATTACATGCACACTTTTTGGAGAATGTCTCCTCACCTCAGGCTTCAAGTTCCCCCGTAGTTAGGTTCCTGAATGCTCACCACCTCTCATGGCCAGCTCAAGCTAGTGTGGGCCCTTCAAACATGGAGACATGCTTAATTCTTACCTCAGCCTTGGGAAGTGGGCTTGATTGAACATTAGTCCCATTTTACAGCTGTGAAAACCAAGGTGAAGTAAGGTGAAATCACCCAGCTAGTGAAGGCTGAACCCCAGGAGGCCATCTCCAAAGCAAGTGTCTTAAGTACCATGCAGGCATGTGTTTCCTCCCTGAAGTCTTCTTAGGTCCCCTTCACATCAACCATCACCTTCTAGATGCTACCAGGCCTGTCTTCCCCTGCACCCAGGACAGAATAGGCACCCAGAGGGAGCCTGGTAAGTGTTCATTAAATGCATGAATCATGGTGACTGAAGCCTTTGCTCCCTAGAGGCAGCATGAGCCAGGATGGTCAGGATGACCCCAAGTGCCACTTTTCCTGTTCTCTGTGGGATTCCCTGCCACTACCCTTTGCTACTCAGTCACCACTTCCTCAGAGACCCAGAGCTTCTTCCCCTGGCTGGGCAGCTAGCTCAGCCAGGGCAAGCCTCATGACAACATCCCAGAATTCACTGGGTTCTGGTAGGGACCCTAGGTGCAGCAGAAATCCTTTGCTCCACTGCTTGTTATGTTAGGCCACTGCTGCCTTTCACACTGCCAGCCAGTCATCTGCATAGGACTGGGCTTAGCAAGGAAATAGAAACCAAAGCAACTTGGAGGTGGTTCAACTGGGTGAAGTCAGGAGCCAGAAGCCAGAGGAAGTGGGTTTGGAAAAAGAGAGAAGGTAGGTGCTGGGGAGGCGAGAGCTAAAGGTGGACTCAGGGGAAGGGGAGTGGGTACACCCAGCCTAGTGACTTTTCCTCTCCTGTGCCCGACCCCAGTACCCAATCACATTTGGTTCATGAAGTCACAGAGTAATGTGGCAGTGAGGTTCTTGAGGACACAGGCCAGAAGTATGTGACTGACTTCCTAAGCATGCTCCAACACAGCGTCCAGAAAAACACGGGCAGGGCATTATCTGGGCAAGGGGGTAGGACTGCTTCAGTAAAATATCTATTCAAGGAACTGAGGCTCAGAGAGTCAAGGCAAATACACAGCTCATTAGTGGTGGGCTGAACTATTTGAGAAGATTTAGCTCTCCAATATTGTTCATTTGAAATCTCAATTCCTCTTATAAAAACATGATTGTGTAGGAAGAACTGTTTTCCAAGAAAAGCACCACCATGTAGATTTTTATTCTGGAGTACAGGGTTGGCCTGGGAGCTTCAGATCCCTTAGTCTATGGATTTCTCTCTTTTGTCTCCTCTCCCTCTCTCCACTCCTCCTTTTTCCTGAGTTTTAGGATGGAGAGAGAAAGGTCAGACACAATAGAACATTTCAAGTGATATGAAAGGACATGAGAGGGAATATTCATAAGAAACTGCTCTTAAATGACATTGGCACCTAGTTAAGGAAAACAATTGGCTGAAACCCAGAATAGTAGAGTAGGTTGGGAACAGGAGGGAGCCATGACAATCAATTTACCTTGCACTAGCACTAGCAAGACGACCCAGGAAGCAAGTTCTGAATGGGCAGTGAAGAGTTGCTGTTCCCCCTGAAAGCATGTGCTGTGAATTTTATCCCCAGTGTGGTACAGAAGTGATGGGAAGTGTGGTCCAATGGTGGGGGTGGGTTGAGGTCAGCAGGGCTCCACCCTCATGGATGGATGGATGCCCATTAGCAAAGACTTGAGGCTACAGTGATCTCTTGCTCTCACTCTTGCCCTTCCACTAGATTCTGCCTTCCACATTGGGATGTTGCAGTAAGAAGGCTCTGATGTTAGACTTCCCATACTCCAGAACCATGAGAAAAAGATTTCCATCATTTCTAAATTACCTAGTCTGTGCCATTCTGTTAGGGCAGCACAAAATGGACAAAGACAAGAGTCTTGCAGGTACCGAGGGGGTGGCAGGTGCCCCAAGGCCAGGTGTTTGTCTGTACCTCTCTTCCTTCTTGTGCTCTGTCTAGATGCATCAGGATTTGCAAAGACAGGCCATGTGGCTCCTTTCATCCCCGTCATGCACCGGGGTCGACCACAGTTTGCCTGGATTTCAGGCCCAGAAAATGCAGGGAGGGATTCTTTTTGTTTATAATCCTCTCCAGCACTGTGAGCACCATGGAACAGTTCTGTCATGGCATGGCATTTGCGGGCAATTGCCAACGGGTTTGGGATTTGGAGCAATCAGACTCTCACTCACTGCAGTGGGGGTGTAAAAGAACACAGCTTGGGAGCAGTCAGATATCTGCTTCTCCTACATCCAGGCTATTCCATGTCAAAACATTACCCAACAGAAAGGAAAACACACACGGCTGTTCAGAGTACCTTTGCTCATCACAACCCCAAACTGGAAACC